GTTTGGAGAGCATGGTCTGGGCCCGCTCCAGTACGTGACGCACCCATGGATGTCAGATCTCTGACAGCGTGTCCTGCTTGGACCCCCTTGCTCATCCTCAGCCTGCAAGCCCTGCCTGCTGGCCCTCTCCACTGTTCGACTACCCCTTTGGCTTTCCTCTGACTTCAGCTTCAGGCCTTTGATGTAACCACATGGCCTCCCCCATCTCCTCGCTGAAGTTTGCTAGGGCCAGAGTCTGGTATCAAACTCCCCAACCTAAGGTGCAGTGGTTCTTCTCACGCTCCCCATCCTCCCAAGGTGCCCTCATCTCTGATCTTCCCGATTTCTTACCTGTGCAGTCTTTGTCTTTTGGTGGAGTTGATTTGGTTTTGAGACAAGGTCTCAGTATGTGGGTCAGGCTGACCTTGAACTCATTATTCTCCTGCTTCAACCTCCTGAGTGGTGTCACAGCTAGGGTTTCTATTGCTGTGAAGAGACACCATGACCATGGCAGCTCTCATAAAGGAAAACATTTCATTGGGGCTGGCTTCCAGTTTCAGAGATTTGGTCCGTTAATGGCTGCACACAGGCAGACACAGTGCTGGACCAGGAGCCAAGAGGTCTCCATCTGAATCTACAGGCAGCAGGAAGAGAAGAGACCCCAGGCCTGGCTTGAGCATTGGAAACCTTAAAGCCCACCCCCAGTGACACACTTCCTCCACCAAGGCCACGCCTCCTCATGCCACTTCTAAGCTTCAAATCTGAGTCTGTGGGCCATTCTCAGTCAGACCACCACAGTGGGGTCCTAGGCATGTGTCATCTGACGTGTTTGTTTTCATAGTCTCGCTTGAAACTGTGGGGGAGGGTGACCTTGAAGTGACCCTACCCTCTCTACCTCTTGAGTGCTGTGATTATAGGATCTGCCATCATGATTGCCTGCTGCAGTGCGAGGGATCTAATCTGGGGCTTTGTACGTACCAAATAACTACTCAGCCAGACGAACTACATCTGAAGCCCTGCTTTTGTTTTTGTAATTAAAAACTGTTTTTTTCTTGAGATAGTGTCTTGTTATGTGGTCCAGGCTGGCTTTGAACTCATGATCCTCCTGCCTCAGCCTTGAGAATACTCAGCTTCTGGGCATGCTCTGTCATGCCTACCTTTCTTTGCTTTTGAGACAGCTCTCCTTGTCTAGGCCAGGCTGGTCTCGCGGTTGCAATCTTCCTCCCTCCGCCTCTCTGGCGCTGGCATTACCCGCATCACCAAGTGCTGCTTCCCTCCCCGTTTCCAGGCACACACTGTGCCCAGGCCTGCATGAACCCCTGTGTAGGTCACCCAGGGAACTTTGCACACAGCCCTGTGCAGCTTTTTAGACATGAGAACATTCAGTGTTTGTGGAGAGCCACCCTGTCAGCTCGGAAAGTGGTGCCCAGGTCCGTCTGACTCAAGAGCCACAGAACTCAACCAGCCGCTCATTCGCCCAAGTGTTGGGTAATTACTGTGGAGCGCTTGTTGTGCAAGCCTACTTGGCCCCCTCCCCTGCCTTGCGGGGTGTGTGGGAGACCAATGCAGAACAAAGGAACCTTCCAGGTAGGTATCTGGCTCCTACTGTGCCTGGAGCAGGGCGAGGGAGGCTGCTGGCTTCCTCTTCACACAAACAGAACAAGTCTGCTGGCCCCGAGTGGTGCCAGCCCGAACCTGCCCTGCCGTTGGGAGTGATAATTTCCTCACAGCCACAAATGCTGATAATCATGCCCAGGAAACTCGCTGCCCGCTGGAACCCGGCGCCTTGGCCGCCACAGTTAAGAGGAGGGAGGGACCCACTGTTTCTGTGGCTTCCCTCCATGTGAAGCCTCGGCTGCTGACCTGAGAGGAAGTCTGGCTGCTGTGGGGAAAGACGCAGATCTGTGGGAACTGGGCAAGCTGCGGCAGGGGGCTCGGGGCCCCGGGGCCCCGGGGATGGAGTCCCAGCCCTGCCAGGTCGGAAGGCCAGTTGTGACGCGTGCTTTTAGACTTGTGGCCCTGGCGCAGGCTGTTTCACCTCCCGAAGCCTTTGAGCCCCCCTCTCCTGGCAGGTGGTGTGTAATCTGCACTGATGCCCTAGGAAGCGAAGCTCCGCCTGGCACCCTGCTCGTTAGTCACCCCCTGAGCATTTGGGCTTCTCCGTGGCTTTGCCAGCCATGCTTTCTCTGTTCTGTTACCTACTGTGGCAGAACGACCCAGAAACGTTTAGTTAGCAACAAGCTGGCATTGTTGGAAGATGGCACTCTGTCTCTTCCTTCCGCCCCTCCCCCTTGCTCTGAGGTCGTTCAGCTTGTCCCTGTGGGTTTTCAGTAAGAGATAGTGTGGGACGGCGTGGACCTGGACAGGTGGGCCTCTGTCACCCAGCGTGTCTCGGGATAGCCCCCTGCTCCCGCCCCGTAGCCTCTCCTGAACTGGGCTGCTCACATCTTATCTTCTTCATGGACATGGAGGAGACTGGCTCTCTAGGAAGTCTGAGGACAGATGGCCGAAGCCTCTGCGTTGACGAGAGAAGTCTGAGTCTGGTTTTTGCTGTGGCCAGCGTTTTCTGTCAGGTGGCCGTTTCCTGGAACTTGACATCAGGGCAGGAACTAGACATCCCCTTCTAGGCTGCAAGGACGGCTGCCTGCTGTTCCTAGAGCTCTGCACAGACGGGAAGCTCTGTCCCTTCCTAGATAACCTCAGTGTACAGTCCAACTGTTTGGTTTACTTTTTGTGCTTTGCTTCCCAGTGTGAAGCAAAGGTCTTCTGTAGCCCAGGTTGGCCCTTGGCAGGTGATATCCCACCGCTGCCTCCCAAGCTTGCGCCCTCGCTCCAGATGGAACCCAGGGCTTCATGTGCACGAGGCAAGCGCTCTGTCTAGTGAGCCGCATCTCCAGCCTTTTTTATTTTTTATTTCTTGAGACAGGGTCTCATGTTGCCCAGACTGGTCTCGAACTTGCTATGTAGCCAAAGGTGATTTTGAACTCCTGATTCTCCCATCTCCACATCCCAGGTGCTGGGATTAGAGCTTGGGCTACCAAGCCCAACTTGATTATCTTTAAAGAACGATGCCACTCTGTAGCTTAAGCTGGCCTTGGTCTTGTGGCATCTTCTCTGTGCACCCCACCCCAGGAATTCTAAATGTGCACCACCTTACCTAGATTTTCACTTTGTGTCCGTGGTGGGGTTTTCTGTGTCTCAGGGTTGTCCTGGAACTCAGCATCCTCCTGCCTCAGCTTCCTGCATGCTGTGATTACAGGAGGTGCTGCTGTGCCTGGTTCCATGGTCAGTTTATATGTAAACGGTAGAGCACTCAAGAGCAAGAGAAACTTCTGGAAACCAGATTTCTTTCTCCTCCTTCCCCTCTTCCTCCTCCTCCTCCTCCTCCTTTTTTTCCGAGACATGGTTTCTCTGTATAACCCTGGCTGTCCTGGCACTCACTCTGTAGACCAGGCTGGTCTCGAACTCACAGAGATCTGCCTGCCTTTGCCTCCCGAGTGCTGGGATTAAAGGCGTGCACCACCACTGCCTGGCTGGAAACCATATTTTTCAGGGAGAGGAACTTAATCAGTTTTATGATCTGAGACGTGTGACGTCCCTATGGGACTTCTGGCTGCTCTGAGCCCTCTGTAGGTTTCCACAGAGAACATTGCCAGCCCTGTCTTTCTGGGTTTTGCATATTCTGTTCCCCTTGGCCGGCACCGTGTTCTCCCTGGCTGCTCGTTACTCTATGGGACTTGAGGTTTTTGTTTTTATTTTTTTTGAGACAGTGTTTCTGTTTGGCTGTTGTGGAACTCACTCTATGGACCAGGCTGGTCTTGAACCCAAAGATCTACCTACCTGTGCCTCCTGAGTACTGGGATTAAAGGTGTGCGCCACCACTTTGGAACTCAGTTCTTATGTCCCCCCTGTTCCTGCTTGTTTGGCATGCCTTCCCCTTCTAGGCTGCAAGGACGGCTGCCTGCTGTTCCTAGAGCTCTGCACAGGCTGGGAAGGAAGCAGGTGCTCAAATATTTGCTGACTGGGCCAGTTTGGCTTTAGCCCAGGAGCTGCCCTGGTAGGGGGAGGGCACCGATGTGTGTGATGCACTTTGTCAGGTGAGAGAAGGGAAGGACAGAGGTGTAGCAGGATTCATCGCAGGTAACGTTTGCAACCTATAATCCCAGCCCCCAGAGTAAGACAAGAGGATTGTGAGGGTGTGGCCAGCCCCAGCTTCCAGATGCACTTTGTGGCAAGCATGCCTGCCTTTCTCTCTCTCTCTCTTTTCCTTCCTCCCTCCCTTCATTTCTTTCTTTCTATTTACTTTGGTTTTTCAAGATGGTTTCTCTGTGTTGTCCTGGCTTCCTGGCACCACTCTGTAGACCAGGCTGGCCTCAAAAGCAGAGATCTGTCCGCCTCTGCCACCATTGTCCAGCTGAGACACCACATTGTTAAAAAGAATAGCAGGCATTGTGGGGCATGCCTATAATGCCAGTATTTGGGAGGCTGAGGCATGATGACCATGAGTTCAAGGTTAGCTTGGGCTACACAGGAAAACTGTCTCAAACGCGAGTGCGCGCGCGCACACACACACACACACACACACACACACACACACACACACACACAAAACAAACAAAAAAACCTGGGCCTGGCCTACATAGCAACAATCTGTCTTTAAAAGAGGCAATCCCAGCTGGGCAGTGGTGATGCATGCCTCTAATCCCAACATTCAGGAGGCAGAGGCAAGTGGGTCTTTGAGTTCAAGGCCATCCAGGTCTACAGAGTGAGTTTCAGGACAGCCAGGGCTATGCAAAGCAACCCTGTCTCAAAAATAAAAAACTACAAAGCAACAACAAAAAACTGTCTGTGGAGTCACAACTCTGTGGAGGTGAGAGGATTAGGGCTTCAAGGCTAGCCTCAGAGAGAAGCAAGTGTGAGGCTAACCCGCGCGCCTTCCCGCCATGTCAGCCGGCAGGGAGGACTGAGCCGGCTGCAGCCTCCGCTGCTCCTGAGGAGGCTCTTCTCTGCTTCTCTCCCAGCGCCCCAGCACGCAGCAGCAGCAGTTCCCATCCTTGGACGACAAGCCCCAGTTCCCAGGGGCCTCGGCAGAGTTTGTAGACAAGCTTGAGTTCATCCAACCCAATGTCATCTCCGGCATCCCCATCTACCGTGTCATGGACCGCCAGGGCCAGATCATCAACCCCAGCGAAGACCCCCATGTGAGGCTGCTCCCCGCTCCCAGGCTCCCGGGCCCCTATTCCCAGGTCCCTTGCCTGACTCCTCTGGTCCCAACTTTGCCCATGTGTCTGCCTCTGCCTGCAGCTGCCCCAGGAGGAGGTACTGAAGTTATACAGGAGCATGACACTGCTCAACACCATGGACCGGATTCTGTACGAGTCCCAGCGGCAGGTAAGTGGGGGCAGGCTGGAGCAGGGTGGGGTCATCCCCGGTACCTGCCTGTGCTTGTATTCAAGGAATGCACCAAGGACGGGAGGCGTGGGGATCTTCTCAGTGGTGCCCTGAGAGCTCATGGGGTTCTCTGGGGATGCTGGAAGAATGTGTGAAGGAACCCTAAAAATACCTGCCGTGTGCACAGCCGAGAAAGGTTCCACACGTGCCTAGTCACAGCCATGACTTCAGGCGGGACATTTCTCTCGTCTCTGCCCTGGTCTCCACACGGCGTGTTGGCTGGGTACTGAGCTCAGTGGTAGAATTCTTGACCTGCTCTGGGTTCCGTCACTGGCTCTACAAATAAGTAAGCAAACTACTTAAAAAGCCAGGCATGGCTGCCTGCTGTAATCCCAGTGCTTGGGTGGCTGAGGTGGTAGGACAGCCTCGAGTTCCAGGGCAGCCTGAACTACAAAGTAGACGCTGTCTCAAAGGTGCTCCTCCTCCCGCAGATACACAGTGAGTGAGCTGGTGACCTAGCCTGCTGGGGTGGGGTAGGAGAATTAGCTGTCAGCCTGTGTCTGAGGCGTGCGCTTAGGCTCGAGGGACGGAGCTCCTCACTCCAAAGGAACGCTTAAGAAACAAAATCAAGCTGGGCGGTAGTGGCGCACGCCTTTAATCCCAGCACTCGGGAGGCAGAGGCAGGCGGATCTCTGTGAGTTTGAGGCCAGCCTGGTCTACAGGACAGCCAGGGCTGTTACACAGAGAAACCCTGTCTCTAAAAACAAACAAACAAAAAAAAAAACAAAAAACAAAAAAAAAAAAGAAGAAGAAAATGAAAAGCAGTATTTAACAGGAGACTGGTTTGTCCTCTTTATAAAAGAAGCTCGGGATGGGGGCCTGGAACTCATTGAGTGGCCGCTGAGTGGCAGAGGTGTCCGCCTCCCTCTCCCTCCGTGCTCTGCTGTGCGGTGCAGCATTGGCCTCTGTCTTCACGGTGTCCTTATGCCTCTCACCGTCCCGATGGCTGCGGGTCTCATCCCATCTCTCCTCACTCTCGTCTTCATAGAGCCTCTCGGACCTCCCCTGATAACGTGTGCCCACAGGTCCTCAGCTCTTCCTCGCTCCAGGGAGACTGGCACGACCCTTCGTCTGGGTAGCTCCTGCCTGTAGCAGAACAGGAGGCGGGGAGGGCTCTGGGTGGACAGGTTCTGCCACTAGCCCAGGGTGGGGGTGCACCTCAGGCTCCTCCACATGCTGAACGCCACAGCCCCGCAGGCCCTGCGTGTCCAGTAGCCGCCCACCCACTTGGCTCCCCACTTAGAGAAAAGCCTTTCTTCATTGCTCTACTGCAGCTGGACAGCCAGGCTCCAGGGGCAACGCTGAGCTCCACAGGGATGCGGGTCCCGAGGGGCAGTCAGGAAGACTGCTTCCACCATCGTGGGTGACGTCAGTTCCGTCCTACGCCAGGGTTCCCCAGCTCTCCGGCCAGACTTCCATCTTGGGCCCCAGACCTAGCTGGCACCATCTTTGCTCATCCTCCAGCAGAAGCCTGTGCAGACGTGACCTGTGTCCCTTCCTCCTCTAACCCATTGCTCAGTGTTGGGCACTGCCAGCCACCCTCCTCGCCTACCCTGGCACCCCAGTCTCCTAGCAGCTCCGCGTGCAGCACTGTCCCTCTGCTGCTCCTTCTCACGGAATGGCGTTGGTCTGCGCCTGCTGCCTTGGGCTCACAGGACGGCTACCGTAGGTCCAGGCATGGTGCCTCTGAGCAAGGCAGAAAGAAGGTGGGGTGGGGTCGGGGTCGGGGCGGTGCCAGCAGTAGTCGCCCTATCCCGAAAAGCACATTCCGTTAAAGCTTCGGATTAAACTGCCCCTGACCAGCCACTTCTGGCTGGCAAGGGAGGCTGGGAAACCCAATGTCTTTTCCAGGTCCAGGAAAGAGAGGCTAAGGTAGCTGTCCTGGGGTGCAGGGGGGGGTCACTCTTAGCACCACTAACTTGGCTTTTGAGGACCCATCCATCTGTCCCTCCCTTGTCTCCCCAGGCCCCTCCCTTGGCTCGCTGCTTTCCTTGCTTTCTCCATCCTTCCTGCAGGGTTCTCCAGCCATTCCAAGACTGGAGTGTGGCCGCAGCACCCCTGCAGACTGTCCCGATCACCTCGTCTCCCCTCCCCTCTTGTCATGCCGTGTCTCTCCTTGTCCCTTTGTCTGTCCTTCTCCCTGCCTGCCTTGCCCACTGCAGCGGGCTCTCCACACCTGCTTGTCACTCAGCCCTCACCGTCCACTCGGTTTCCTCTGGACGCAGCCCAGCCCAGCCCAGTGATGGCTAAGTTGATGGGTGATCCTTACAAGTTAGGCAGGGGGCTGGGCATGGTGGCACACCCCTTTAATTCCAGCACCCAGGAAGGAGAGGCAGGCAGATCTCTATGAGTTCAAGGCCTGCTTGGACTACATTGTGAGTTCAGGATAGCCAGGGCTATGAAGAGATCCTGTCTCAAAAAAGCAAAACAAGGCTGGGCATTGGTGGCGCATGCCTTTAATCCCAGCAGTCGGGAGGCAGAGGCAGGCGGATCTCTGTGAGTTCGAGGCCAGCCTGATCTACAGAGTGAGTTCCAGGACAGCCTCCAAAACCACAGAGAAACCCTGTCTTGAAAAAAAAAAACAAAAAAACAAACAAAAAAAAAAGCAAAACAAAAATCAGGCAGGGTTCTCTGTCAAGGACTGCTGTAACCAAGCCCGGGCCTCTGGCCCCTTCACCCCCAGGGCCGGATCTCCTTCTACATGACCAACTATGGTGAGGAGGGGACTCATGTGGGCAGTGCCGCCGCCCTGGACCGTACAGACCTGGTGTTTGGCCAGTACCGGGAGGCAGGTATGTCTGCTGGTAGTTGGCTCCTGGGGTCTCCATTGAGCCCCACAGTTCGGTTTCCCTGAGGGCCCTTTCGGGAGCCCAGGCAGCAGCAGCATCGCAGGCAGGGCAGCTGAGGTGTCACTTTGGAGAGGCAGTCTTCCCCCAGGGCCCGGAGTACAGCGAGTGTCTCTTGCAAAGAAGGGCACCCACTAGTCTCCTCTGAGCCACCACGTCCCCGTCTTCAGAGTGGCAATGAGGAGGCACCTGAAGTTAACGTCCGCGAGACGCCTGCTGGGGGTCAGGCCTGGCTGGGGGCACCGCACACTCTGTAGACACCTGCCTACCCAGGGCAAGGGTGCGTGGACTCTTCTGAGGTGCTGTGTTCCCTGGGCAGCAGGGGCAGTGGGAGGGTCCTGAGTGCAGTGTGGATCTTAGTTTTGGCAAGAGAGATGGCCATAGAGCGAAAGGAAGGAACAGAGAATGAGACGGGGGGCTGGGGATGCTTGGGGTCCTGCAAAGAAGCTACCCCTGCTCCAAAGCCACAGAGAAACCCTGTCTCGAAAAACCAAAAAAAAAAAAAAAAAAAAGAAGCTACCCCTGGTGGTACCAACCAGGCAGATGTTGAGCCTGGTAGGCCTGCCCCATCTTAGGCAGCACTTGGCCATGCTGTCCTGTTTATAAGGAGGTGGCAGCCCCAGCTGGCTGCTGTAAAGATCCTGGCTGAGCACTTGGAGTTAGAGGCCCTTGTTATTGGAACTGATTCCAGGGGCAGCTTTTCAGAGGTGGGGTAGCCAGGATGACTTTCCAGAGGCCTCTTCAGATAAGCCGGGCATCCAGTCTAGAGCTGGGCCAGCCCCTCCCGTACTGGATTGGGACATACAGCTTATGATGGTTAGGGTCAGGGAAAGCCGAGTTCCCAAGGCACCGGGGACCTGTAGGCTCTTGTGCTGGGGGGGGGCGGGGTGACAATTCAGGGAGAGGAGTGAGGCCACCCATCCCCTGCTTCACAGCCCACCTGTTGTGTTGAGCTGCCTGTCACTGTGGAGAAGCCTGGCGTGGAGCATGTGATACTAATTCCAGTCCTCAGAGCACTGAGGCAGGGAGACTACAGTTTGAGGCCAACCTGGGCTACATAGCAAGAGTCTGTCCTTAAAAACCACAGACCCCAAAGCAACCAACTGTGGTGTGGGAGTTGATGGGGTCATAGCAGCAGGTGGTCGTCACAGAGCTTTGTCTTGTCCCCTCACTGCAGAGCATAGGCAGGCACTCTGGGGCTAGGGCTGGCCTGGATTGGCAGGCTCGTGGGGGTCCCTTTCCCAGCCAGTGAGGCCATTGTCCTTGTTAATTGTGGGAGCCAGGCAAGCATCAGCAGGGACAGAGTGAGGTCCCTGGGCCCAGGCCATCTGCCTCCTACAGGGTGGGGCGTATGAGTCCTCTCCACCCAGGTCTGACCCAGCGACAGCCTTCTCTGTTTGTCCCCCTGGCTGCCCGTGGCCATATGGGACATCCCCGACTGGGGTGGCGACAGGGAGTGGTGCTGGTCAGGACTGGGAAGCAGCAGCAGGTGCTGAGGAAAGCAGTAGGTCCCAGGGGACCCGCAGTCCCTGGCGCAGGCCAGATCCACCTGGGTGCTGTGTGCAGCGGAGGCTGTGGGTTTTGTTTGTGTTTGGTGGCAATGGAGACGGAGCCCAGGGCTTCACACACGGGACAGGCACGTTACCGCTAGGCCCCACCTGAGTCCGGGACTCTGTGTATGGTCTTCTCGCCCCCGCGTAGTGATTCTCATGGAGAAGCCCAGAGCCTGTGTCTGGGTTCGTGGGCCAGTCTCATGGCGTCCGCCCTCCTCCGCCGGGGCCCCTCCTCCGTCATTGTCCAGGGTAGCCAGACCTTTGCCCATTTATAGTGCCCATTGGGAGACGTGGAGAGATGACTCTGAAGGCCAGGCATGGCGGCACGTGTGGAAGCAGAGGCAGGAGGATTGCCACAAATTCAAGGCCAGCCTGGCCTACATAGACAGTGCAGACCAGCACTTGGGAGACAGAGGCAGGCAGATCTCTGTGAAGCCAGCCTGATCTACACAGTGAGTTCCAGGGTAGCCAGGGCTACTTAGTGCAGTCAGTCTCAAGAAAAACAAGCTGCTTGTCATGTGACTCCATTAACTATCCTTTGTTTTGAGGCAAAGGCTGGTCTGGAACTTGCTCTGTAGACCAGACTGGCCTTGAACTCAGAGACCCACCTGCCTCTGCCCCCCGAGTGGCAGTGAGCCACCATGCTCCTTTAACTTTTCATAAGATCAGCTCTGCAGTAAAGGGTTAGGAAGGACACGTGGCAGTTCCTTCTGTGAGAGCTCAGACTCTGGGGACCACAGGACATGATGGCCCACAGCATTGCCCCCAAGGTCTGGGTGTGAGTTGGGGCCCCCTTCAGTGATGTTGAGAGAGTCCCAGCTTATCCTGAAGCAGTCACAGACCCTCTGTGTTAGCCAGGGTTTCCACTGCAGGGAAGACACCCATGGCCACAGAAACTCTAATAAAGGAAAACATGTAATTGAGGCTGGCTTACATTTTCCGAGGTTTAGTCCATTGCCACCATGGGTGGGGAGCAGGGAGCAGGCAGACACGGTGCTGGCTACACCTGGATATGCAAACGATAGGAAGTGGACTGAGAGGCTGGGCGTGGCCTGAGCATATATGAGACCTCAAAGCCCACCTCCTCAGTAACGGACTTTCCCCAACAAGGCCACACCCACTCCAACAAAGCCACACCTCCTAATAGTGCCACTCCCTTTGGGGGCCATTTTCTTTCAGACCACCCCTCCTCCAGTCCTCTGACTTAGCAGACAGGGCCCTTTGATGGTGACTTAGGGTCCAGCAGGGATTTTATTTGAAGAAGGGTTTTATTTTTGTGGATAGGCGTTTCCTGTCCATGCAGGTGTGACTTGGTGGCCCGTACTTAAAGGAGGTGCGTTAGTTCAAGGGACAAATCTCACAGTTTCTCATTGGGGGGAAAAAAAGTCTCTGGCTGGGGCTGTGTCAGTGGAAGAACATTTTCTGGCATGCGTGCCTGTGGTGGTGCCATGTCCTGCAGTGTGAAAAAGGAGAGGGAGGGGCTGACAGTGTCGCGGCCCATGGGCCAGTGGGTGGCACCTTGTGTCTGTGGGGGAGGCCAGCACGCAGCGATTTGTCTTAGGATATTTAGTGAGACAGCATCTCACTCTGCAGACCAGGCTGGCCTGGAACCCACAGATCTGCCTGCCTCTGCCTCCTGAGCACTGGGACTAATGGCGTGCGCCACCAGGCCTGACCAGTGATTTATTTAAGAAAAGAAAACATGAAGTCGGAAGCGGGGTGGGGTGTTCCCAGAAAGAGTTGGAGGTCAGGGTGAGTGGTTGGAGGCGTGGGCATGACCTGAATACATTGTACTCATGTGTGAAATCACCAGATCATTGCTTTAAAGCCACTGACCATGTGCCCTGAGGGCTGGAACCAGGTTCCTACAAAGAAAGTCCTAGAACTGGGCAGTGGCAGCACACCTTTGATCCCAGCACTCACTCGGGAGGCAGAGGTCACTGTGAGTTCAAGGCCAGCCTGGTCTACAGAGCGAGTGCCAGGACAGCCAGGACTATATAGAGAAATCCTGTTTTGAAAAACCAAAACAGACAAACAAACTAAAACCCCGAAACCAAAGGAACAAAAAGAAAGACCTTGTCTGCCATTTTCTGTGCAGTGCTGCCCTGTCGTATGCAAAGTCCAGTTACACCCATTCAGAGATGGGCGTCGGGAGATGCTAACATTACCCAACCGTTCACCCCTGTCTGACAGTTACCCAGAGGAATTATAAGTCTCTTCTGGGATAGGCCGTATCCGTGGCACCTGCCAGTCCTTGTGAGCCCTGAGTTTGCCTGCCTGGCCTAGGTAGGAAGGGGCTGGCTCCAGGCTGCCCTCAGGGTGGGCCTGACCCTCCCCCAGGGCACTGCTGACCAGGCTCACGGCTGCCTGCTCCCCCAGGTGTGCTCATGTACCGGGACTATCCTCTGGAGCTGTTCATGGCCCAGTGCTATGGGAACGTGAATGACCCCGGCAAGGGCCGCCAGATGCCCGTTCACTATGGCTGCAAGGAGCGACACTTCGTCACCATCTCCTCTCCACTGGCCACGCAGATCCCTCAGGGTAAGGACGCCTGCTTCGCGCACGCAGTACCCATGACACCTCTGTGTGCAGCAGGCCCAGGCCTTCTCCAGCTGCTGCTTGGGTGCTGGCTGCTGTCAGAGCCTGGCCTGTGTCCAGGGCTTTCAAGGGACCTCTCAGAGGAGGGCTCCATGGTGCCCATGTCGCTCAGCAGCCCTGGGTGATCACGGTCACACTGCACTCCCCAGACTCTGTCCGTCCCTCTGACCCTCCTCTCCACGCCAGCAGGACCAGGCGCTGCCTCGCTGTCACATCAGACTGTCTGGTGGCACTGTCAGTTGCTGTGGTAGTAACTGCTATCGTGGATTACTATCGCTGTTACAGAGAACAGGAAACGGAAGGCGAAGAAGGAAGTGACTTTCTAGGGTCTTGTGGTAGCGGGGAGGGCGGGAACTCGCTCATGGTTCTTGTGACTGCAGAGCCCGCGCTCTACCCTGCCCCGGCTAGCTTTGGTTCTCAGAGCCAGGTAGACTCCCCAGAGCATGCCGTAGGTGCCCCGAGGCCCCTGGCATACTACAGAGACTGTGCCCACACAACACACAGACCAAGGTTCAGCTCTCTTGTGGCCCCTGGGCCCAGAGTCTGATGGGGGTGTGTCACAGTAGCCGTGTGGCGGATGGCGGAGCTCTCTCTGAGCTGGCCTTGGCCTCACTATCCAGTGTGGCGCCCCAGAGGCCTCAGTCAACAGATGCGTGTGGCGACCACTGGCTTTCTGAACAAGAGTCAATGTGGGCCTGTTGATGCTGATGTTGGGTTGGGGGAGACCCGTAGGAAAGAGTGAAGAGGCGGTGCCAGGGAGCTTCATGCAGGCTTAGGAAGCCAGGCGGGGCAGTGTCTGGGGGCGGGGCAGTGTCTGGGGGCGGGGGTGGCAGAGGCACCAGGGCCGTGTGGAGGGAGCTGTGAGGCGTTCGTATGTCTCGTTAGGACCAGACCAGGGGACTGAGGGCGTGCGTGGGTACAGAGCGGGTGGGGCCTGTGGCCTTTGCCTGTTGCAGAGACTTCGGCCCACAGTGACTGAGAGCCCACAGTTAGGAAGGAATCTGCCAGACTCCCACTGTTAAGAGTCCTCTAGCTGTCCCTCGGATGACAGATGAAGGGGCAGTGGGCTACGCGGTAACTAGGATACGAAGTGCTGGCGGCTTGGCCTTGGTGGGGGAGGTCGAGATCTGGCTGCCCTTTGAAGATGGTTGGGTGTGAGCATGGCGGACAGGAGTCAGGGGTGCACATTTCTCCCGAGAAAGTAGTCAGCTGAGAGGGAGAAGGCTGTGATGAGCAGGCCTTCCCTAGCCTGGAGCTGTGCGTGCGTGCGTGTGCGTGCGTGCGCGAATCTGCACGTGTCTGCTTATTCCTGTTTGCGCCCTTTCATCCATGTTTCCATGCAGCGGTGGGGGCAGCCTATGCTGCCAAGCGGGCCAATGCCAACCGGATTGTGATCTGTTACTTTGGCGAGGGGGGCAGCCAGCGAAGGGGATGCTCATGCTGGCTTCAACTTTGCCGCCACCCTGGAGTGTCCTATCATCTTCTTCTGCCGGAACAACGGCTATGCCATCTCCACCCCAACCTCCGAGCAGTACCGTGGGGACGGCATCGGTAAGGGCCCTGCTCCCACCGCTCCCCTCCCTTCCTCTCCCATGGGGTCTGACTGGGCGAGGGCCCAGGAGGCAGTAAACGGGCATGCTCCTCTCCTCCCCTTCGCCCTTCGCCCTGACGGGTACCCTCTCTGTCCCTGCAGCGGCTCGGGGCCCTGGGTATGGCATCCTGTCGATCCGCGTGGACGGCAACGATGTGTTTGCAGTGTACAACGCCACCAAGGAGGCCCGGCGGCGGGCGGTGGCGGAGAACCAGCCCTTCCTCATCGAGGCCATGACCTACAGGTGCCTGCCTCGCTTTGATCACTGCAGCCAAAGCTCTGACCAGCCCTGCCCTGCCGGGCCCCACGCATGGCCTTGTCCCTCGTCTGTCCTTTCGTGGCCCCACCCCCACTGAGCCCCGTCTGCTCCTCTGAGCAGGATTGGGCACCACAGCACCAGTGACGACAGCTCGGCGTACCGGTCGGTGGACGAGGTCAACTACTGGGACAAGCAGGACCACCCCATCTCGAGGCTGAGGCAGTACCTGCTGAGCCGGGGCTGGTGGGACGACGGGCAGGAGAAGGCCTGGCGGAAGCAGTCTCGGAAGAAGGTGAGCGCCCGGGAGCCCCCAGCCCGAGTGTGCTCTGCGGCTCCGGCACGGGCGGGCACGGGGAGAACTCCGGGAGGACAGGCGTGCAGGACCTGGGTGCTCGCACTGACTCAGGGAAACTCGTGCCCATAAGTGGCCCCTGGAGCCAAGCTGCCTCAGCGAGTCTTCAGAGTGGAACCCAGAGCAGGTCGTCTGCGTTTCCTGCCTCTAGGTGCCCAGGGATCGGCTTCCTGACTGTCATGTGAAGCGGGAGTACTCACCTGGGCTGTGGCTGCTGCTGCTGTCCACCCTTTGTGGGTGCCGGCTCAGCCCTGACCCCAGCGTCCCGAAGAGCCCTTCCCTTCTCTGCGCCCCGAGCCTAATCCTGCTCCCTCGCTTGTCCAGTGCTCAGTGCAGGGTCAGGTCCCTGCAGGCCAGGGCGGGGTCTGGAGTGTTTCTAACCCCAGGTCCCTGCAGGCCAGAGGGGGGGGCTTCTAACCCCAGGTCCCTGCAGGCCAGGGCGAGGGGGGGTTCTAACCCCAGGTCCCTGCAGGCCAGGGCGAGGGGGGTTCTAACCCCAGGTCCCTGCAGGCCAGAGTGGGGGGGGCTTCTAACCTCAGGTCCCTGCAGGCCAGGGCGAGGGGGGGCTTCTAACCCCAGGTCCCTGCAGGCCAGAGTGGGGGGGGGTTCTAACCCCAGGCTCAGGCCTGGAGGTAGGGGAGGGAGAAGGCGTCAGCCTCTTGTGACCCTCCCCTTCCCTCGCCTCCCCCAGGTGATGGAGGCCTTTGAACAGGCGGAGCGGAAGCTGAAGCCCAACCCGAACCTGCTCTTCTCTGATGTGTATCAGGAGATGCCAGCCCAGCTCCGCAGGCAGCAGGAGTCACTGGCACGGCATCTGCAGACCTACGGGGAGCACTACCCCCTGGACCACTTTGACAAGTGAGGCCCTGGCCACCAGAGATGCTCCCTCTGAGTGGGGTGGGGTGCTCCCTTAGGCAGCTCTGCTAACAGGCTCAGTGGCCAGGGTGGCACGGCAGACTGTCACGGGGTGACTCCCACCCCCATTCCTGCTCCTCCAGGCTGCTCCACCGGGGCCCAGTGTTTGCTGAGGCGCCAATCTCCCCTTCACCCGTAACAGTGCCTTTTAGGGGTGGCCAGGGGAGACCCTCTAGGCAGGCGGCCCTGGACCTGCCTGCATCAGAGCTGGTCGCGAGTGAATAAATCGGGGCTCTACCTTTTACGATCTGCTTCCCTGTGTGTGAGGGGCAAATGGAGGAGAGAGGCCAGCGTGGCTGATTTGGTTTTTGTGACAGGGTCTCACTGTGTAGCCCAGGTTGGCCTGGAATTTGTGATCTTCCTGATTTAGCTTGAGTTCTGGAATTATAGGAGTAGACCACTACACCAGCCTTTGGGGGATAGCCTGGACCACCACACCAGCCTTTGGGGGATAACCTGGCTTTAGGCAGGAAAGCTAAAGGCTTAGAGATACCAACTTCTATAAACTTTCCCAAGCTGGAAGGTGACTTTGGCACATCGGCCTCCAGAGCCCTCCCATGGCCTGGTACAAGCCTGCTGTCCAGCAAAGTGTCCATGGGGTGTCCAGTGGGAAGGTGTAGGGTGAACAGCATCCGCCCTCCCTGCAGGGGTCCCACATATGAAAAATAACTCCTGGCCTCAGAGTAGGGTGGACATAGTTTTCAGAATTAGCAAGTAGGGGAGCACAGTCTGCCGCCCTGTCTAGCCTCGACAAGGCAGGATTCAGGAGGGGCTCGGGCCGGCTCAATATCCCCACCCCACCCTAGCTTGTGTCTGAGGCTCAGCACTGGAGCTCTGGGCCCCACAGGTGTTTCCAGAGCCTGATGGTGTCCTGGGGGCTGACTGGATGGACCAGCAGCAGGCCTCGTATTGCGCAGGGGTCCCTGGTGCGGTCTGCTGGCCAGGCTGTGAGGAACCCTGGATGGGCACGGGGCACCAAGCCCAGAGCACGGAAGCAGAAGCCAGTGTAGACATCATCAAAGGGGAAGGGTGCCACACGGGCTGCCGCCTGCAGCAGCCAGGGGGCCAGGCGTCCTGAGATGACATAGCCACCTCCGCTGGCGTAGGCGGGGTAGTCTCCTGCAAAGAAGGTCATGGGCACATAGAAGGGTTCTCCAGGCTTGCGGAGTGGCTTGGCCTGGGTGAAGACCTCACCCAAGTAGAGGCTGCGGGCCCAGGTGGGTGGCAGGGTCTGCAGGTGCCCCAGCAGGGCGGGGACATGCACAAAGGCGTCGTCCTGAACCTGCAGGACGAAATTGACGTCGGGGCAGTGCTGGGTCAGCCAGGTCAGCAGCAGCAGGTCTTTGAGTGTGCGGTTGTAGGGGACATCCAAGAAGTCCCAGAGCAGCAGGTCGCCGTAGTGCTGGCTCTCCCATGTCACGAGTGACCTCAGGTCAGGTCCCCCCAGTCCTAGCGGTGACCCCAGCAAGAAGAGCAACCGGGTCCCAGCGACTGTGCTGCCCCAGGTCTCCCTGACGGCCTGCCGCGCTGCAAAGTGTCCTGGCTCAGACTTGACAGCCAGGAGCAAGTAGGGGACATCCTTATCCGAACAGCTGGCCACTGGGCTGCCCCTGCCTGCGGGCAGCCACAGCGGGAAGCTCCTACAGGCTGCGGACAGCAAGAAGCGCTGGAGGTCCTGGGGGTACAACAAGAAGTCCAAGATCTCGGAGGCAGCGACAGTCCCCCACGTCCGGCAGTCTGTACTGGGCAGGACTCCCAGGTTGCGCTGCTGCTGGTTCCAGTAAGCAAAGGGCAGTGGGTCAGTCTGACCCAGGCGTGCTGAGAGGTTGATGGGCAGGGTGGGCTCAGCATTGGGTGTCGTGGAACGGAGCAGGGTGCCCCGGGGTTCCGCCTTGTTAAGCCGGGACTCGGATGTCCACTCGATGTACACTTTGAGGCCCAGGAGGGTGAGCAGTGCTAACAGGCAGAGCTGGCACTTGCGGCAACGCATGACCCGGCCCAGGGAAAGGGCCGCCGCTGGGGCTGCAGGAGTCACAAGAAGCCACGGAGGTCTTTAGGGTGCAGGGTGGACCTCCAAAGGGCCCAGCTGAGCCCAGACAAGCAGCCTGCGGCTTACCCAGTCCAGCCGGGCTGCTCCTGGCTTCTGAGACGCTGAGCCTAGAAATCCTGACCTACCGTGCCGAACTGTCACGCTTTCCTAGACTGACCCCCACCCGCATCCTACTCTTTCCCTTTCCTCCACCCGTATCGCTTCAACGCCATTCCCACCCCATTTCCCCCACTCCTCTGTCTCCTCAGGAGTTCCAGCTCCCGGGGAAACCCCTTTTACCTTCTTGGAAACCTACCTACCTCCTCCAGTAACCCCACCCCGGGACCCGGGTACCTCTGGGTTCGGCTTCCGCCAGCTCTGGGGGGTCTTCGGGTCAAGCCCTGCTGGACTCTCAGCTCGCCCCGGCGCGTCCTCAGGCTGCCCGCCCAGCCCGTGCTGGAGTCTGGAGGGGCGGGCGGGAGGGGAGGAGGCGGGAGGGCCCCTGGGGCCGGGAGGAGCCGGGGCGGGGCCGGGAAGGGGAGGCAGACGGGGAGACGCGCCCTGGCGAGTTAGGGCTGGTTTTCTGGTGAGCCATGGGGAAAGGTGCAGGGATGGCCGAAGCCGCGGACCCTGACTCTGCGAGAGCCTGGGGGAGAAGTCTAGGGAAGGGGATGCCGAGGCCAGCTGACATGAACGATCCAGTCTGGGTTCCAAAGGGGAAAGAGAAGGGAGACCAAGGGCCTGGTTCGAGGCCACTGCCAGGAGGCGTTGCTGCGAGCGGGGTGTGGGGGGTGGAGGGCATGTTTGCAGGGGCTGCGAGGGGGTGGAGGGACATCGAGTAGAGAAACCCGGGGAGACCTTAGCGGGCAACTAGAAGAGAAAGGGGTGAGGCAGGAGAAAGACGCACAGGTGGCCGTTTCAGAACAGAGCCTAACTAACCAGAGAGGAGTCAGAGGAGCCCGGGAGGACCCAGAGAAGAAAGGGAGGACCAGAGAGAGGGGGTTAGCTAGGAGAGCAGTAAGAGGTGATAACCACCGCCTTGAGAGCCCGGGAGCTAGGGTCTGCACCTCCTCCAACTTGAGCATGAGCCTCGACCAGCCTAGCATCTCCATCCAGATGGGAGGCGCCCCACTCTGATGCTCTGGGCTTTACGCTGCTGCACCCCAGGGGCTGGAGGGTTTCTGCCTGTTTACATCCCTGCCCTAGGGCCTCTGCAGTTGAGGCTGTGCCAGCAGTCTGGGGAGACCGGCAGGTGGGGCCTTCCCAGATCTCCAGGGACCTAAGCTGGGAGGAAGCCGGCTCGTCGCCCACCAAGCCCGGGTTGACCCCTTGCACCCTACCTGGTTTGGAGGACTGTCAGATGGAGCAGAACCCAATGTACCAGCGCCGAGTCTGTTATCTGTGCAGCCCTGATTTCCTCCCTCCAAGTTTGAATAATGGAGCCTGTGGGAACAGAGGGAGGAAGAGAGTAGGGAGGAAATGGTTACTGTTAATGGAGTGAGAGCCACAGTGGGCAAGAGCCCAGGGCCAGACAGGGCCAAGCCCACCCCACACCAGGGCCCGTGGGAGAGGCCCGTTAAGGCCTCTGAGCTCTCCTGGCTCATCTCCCTTCAGGGCACTGAGGCTCTGTGACTGGCATCCTCCTGGGGCCTGCAGTCTCCCGGGAAGCAAACAGTGCTGGTTGCTGAGTGCAGCTGTGGTCCAACCGGGAGAAGCCACACAGATGCTCGAACCAGGAGGACTCAGTAGAAAGCCTATTAACAAGAACACGGGACCGAGAGACTCAGGGTCTGAGGCAGATTACTCTTGGGGACCATAGTTTGGGGCATTTCCACCATCCGCTCTCATGCCAAGCATTGCTAGCTTATCGGCTTCATTAGCTGTAGGGTACTGTCGGGTTCATGTTCCAGCCCGCCAGCCAGGCCACCTGTGTGGCACAGGGAACCATTAGATCTAAAAGCACACCTGCTCAGTGGATCTGGCCCAAATGTCCTCAGCACACACTCTACACCCTCCCTGAGCTCTACCCATACACATTGCAAATTCTTTTCTTCCGTAGACGGGTATTTTGTCTGCATGTGTATCTGCGCATCAGTTGCGTGCCTGGTGCGTGTGGAGGCCTGAAGAGGGCATCAGCTCCCCCTGAACTGGAGTTAGACGCTGTGGACTGCCGTTGGGCTGCCAGGAGTCAAACATAGGCCCTCAGCAAGAGCAGTCACTGCTCTTAACCGCTCAGCCACCTGCCCGCCCCTCCCTTTGGATTGTTGGATTCCTTGTGATCCTCTGGCTTCAGCGTCCTCAGCGCAGGGATGCTGGTTTTGGGGGAGTACTGAGTGTTGAACCTAGGGCCTTGTGCATGCCACCTGAGCGATATTACACCAGCTGGTGTCTTGTTCTCATCAGCAGGGGCACAGTAGACGGCTCTTCCCTCTGGAGCAAGTGGATTTGATCCTGGGTTTACGGGTTTGTTAGCCGTGGAGGACACTTGAGTCTCTTTATTAATGCGTTTTGAGGTAGGGTCTCGCACTGTAGCTCTGGCAGGCCTAGAACTTGCTATGTAGATGGATTTGCTGCCTTCTGCTTCCTGAGTGCTTTCTGGAGAATAATGGACGCAAGGGGCTGGAGGGATGGCTAGGCGGTTAAGAGCACTGGCTGCCCTTCCAGAGGACCTGGGTTTGATTCCCAGCACCCACACGGGAGCTCACAACTGCCTGTAACTCCGGTTCCAGGGGATCCAGCCACCTCTGGCTATTATGGGCACTGCGCACATGGTGCACTTATTTCCATGCACATAAATGAATTAGAGCCCAGGTGAGGTCATCACCGGATGGTTCTGCTGGGGGCAGGGATCAAGTCCTGAAGACTGGAGTCCAACCCCATTCCAAGAATGAACTTCTGGGGCTGTCAGGGAGCTCTGAAGTTCTCAGACTGGTATCACACACACACACACACACCGAGCACTCCAGGGTGCTCCTCAAAACCCCAGCAGCCATGGCTGTCGCACGGCAGCCACCAAAGGTCCTCTAGGATCCAGCATGCCGGGGCCTCTGGCATTCCGTTTTTTTTGTTTTTTATTTTTTTTTCCAACAAGGAGCTTACTACTACTCTCACGCCCAAAGTCCCAGCCCTCCCAAATCCATCTTAGGCCTTCATCTCCAGAACTGCGCATCTGGTGCCATCTGGATCCGGCTGGGAGGAAAAGCCACAGGGCAGTGCGAACAGGGAAAGTTTAATATAAAGACTCATACTCTTGCACGGCACATAAGTCACGGGTAACATGGGTACCAGGAGTCATTCAGACCACTGTGCCGCCCACCAGCAATCTGGGAGCTGGGGAAGCGCTGTTCACTTAGCTGCAGGCAGTCCTGGCCTTCCCGTTGGGTTCTCTCCAGCGCCCTCTACTGACGAAGTCTGTTGTGCCAGCTGAAGAGAACGTTTTCCCAACCACTCAACGTTTTCAGAGCAGGAAAACAGCATGGGACGGTAGAAGCCGCACTACCAATGGGCGATGCCCTGGGGCTCCGAGTGCTGCTGGTCTTTAATGAGCGTGGGTCATGGATGCTGGCCACCCGTGGTGCTGCCCAGCCCTGCACAAGGAGGACCCAGCACTGTAAACAGCCATCCCCAGTCCCCGCCGATGAGGATGTGGACAGTTAAGGGGATGGATGTCCTTGACGGGAGAACAAGAAGCCGTGAGGCTGCCATGGAGGACCGTCCACCACAGCTGCAGGCGCACACCAGTCAATCCCGACCCGGCCTTATTTGCCAGTGCTCCTCTGTGTTGGTGAACCCCACTGGGAGCCAGAGCTAGGACACGTCACACTCCAGAGCCCCACAAGACCCTGCAAGAGTGGGGCCACAGCTAGGGAGAGATGGGGCTAGATGCGTCCTGAGGCTGCCGGTCTGGCTCCAGCTTCAGGTCCTGGGCCCACTCAGTGCCAAGGACCTCACAATGGGGCAACATCTCTTCTACCAGGATCTGAGTGAGGCCTGGGTGGGACACGGCAGGGAGGTCTGAGATGTCCAGCCTGCGGAGGTTCCTGAAAGGACGAGGACAGACGTGAGAGTGGCATCTGTGTGTGCATGTGCATGTATGTGTGCGTGCCTGCGAGCATGCTAAGGATGCAACCCGGGCTTTACACATTCTGCTGCTGACCCGCACTCCTACGCCTTTACTGGTACATTATAAGCAAACACTCTAGCTCTGCCATGCTCCCAGCCCCTCACTGGGGGATTCTAGGCAGGGGCTCTACCACTGAGCAACACCCCCAGCCCCTCACTGGGGAATTCTAGGCAGGGGCTCTACCACTGAGCAACACCCCCAGCCCCTCACTGGGGAATTCTAGGCAGGGGCTCTACCACTGAGCCACACCCCTAGCCCTCAAGTAAAACTCTATAGTTATCTAAATATGTGAAATTCACTGCTGACTATAAGCATGTTTCTTTGGCCTCTTTTCTCCTGGGACTGTGTGACTACCAGAGTTTCCGTCCACATACAAAGGAAGCAAAACCAGGAGTGAGTTCTTTCTGAAGTCACAGAACCCTCACGTACCACGGGTACTAGATCGTGGCAGGGAGAGTAGAGGCAGGTGGCTAGCAGCACCTAGAACCCCCTCCCAGCGCTGCTGGCACGGGGCCAGCCTGAGCAGAGATCTTACTGGAGGTGGTGGAGGCAGGCGAGGCCCCGTTCTGAGACTTGGGGGCACCCGGCCAGCGAGAGCTCCTGCAGAGAGTGAGCTAGGAGGTGGAGGCGGCCGAGGCACCAGTCATCCACATGGGGGCAGCGCTCCAGCGACAGGGACCGCAGCTTCTTCAGGGGCACTGCTGGACGAGAGGACAGGTGGCACCATGGCCTTTGTGGAGCCCAGCCCCACAGGGCAACCCACCCACCCTACTCACGGAGGTTACTCATGCCCTGGTAGTTGATGGTGCAGCCGCTGGCGTCCACAGCCTCCACAGGCACCTCCCGGAAGTTCAGGAACTCCGTAGGAAAACTGCCACGCTCGTTTGCACGGATCCACTCCTTGTCCTGAAACCTGGACCGAGGGGCAGGTTGATGGCACTGCCTGGCTTCCCGAGAGTGGCCACCCTGGCGGTGGCGGCAGGTCCGCACCCTCCTCACTCCTTCCCTCACGCAGGACAGCAGAAGCCCCGGATGCTGAGCTGAGGTGGGCGTGGCTGTGTGCCTGGGAGCCCAGCGTTTGGGAGACAGACAGGAGCACTGGGAATTCAGGGCCCCCGCCCCTCCCCAGCACACACTCACTAAGGGAAAGCTACATGCTGAGTCCTTGCTGACGGCCGATTGCAGACACACATCTCATCCTATAGAAACTGCTGTTTTTCCATCAAGAAGAGAACACCCAGGGGCTGACGAGATGGCTTAGGGGGGGAAAAGCTGCTGCCAAGGCTGACAGCCAGCTAGTTTCTCAGGCCCATGGGGGAAGGAGAACCAACTCCAAGTTGTCCTCTGAGCACCACACAGTGGCAAAAGCACCCCCCACATACTAAATAAGTAAATGTTAAAAAGGCATATTTAAAAGCAGAAGGGAAAAAGGAGCATAAAGACAGACCTTTTTGTCTGTCTGTTTGATGCAGGGTTTTGGGTCTGGCTATGTAGCCCAGGCTGGCCTATAATTTCTCTCTTCTGCTTCGGCCTCCACAGCTGGGGGTCTCAAGCATGTGTCACCATGCCCGGCTAGGAGGCACACTCCATCCACTCTCCTTCGCCTCCCAGGGCTGGGGTTAAGGGAGTGTGGCATCACACCAGGCAGAAAAACACTTTGTTGATGCGGGGTTTTGCCGTGTAGCCCAGGCTGGCCCTGAACTCATCCAGAGTAGCTGGGATCAAGGCTTTGCATATCACCCAGCTGCCTGGCGTGAGCAGGCACTGACATGTTTCACCCCATGACAGCTATGTAGACTGAGATCCCAGTCTTCAAAGCAAACCAGGATTAGCAATGCCACACACAATTATTTTATTTATTTATGGTGTGTTTTTGAGACTGGGTCACACTGTCCCGGAACTCACGTTATAGACCAGGCTGGCCTAGACCCCAGAGATCCGCCCGCCTCTGCCTCCTGAGTGTTGGGATTAAAGATTAAAGCCATGGTACCATGGCTAGCTGTATATAACTTTTTAATTTTTTTTTAAAGAGCGAGTCTTAAGATATAGCCATGGTTGGCCTAGAACTCACAGAGATCCGCCTGCCTCCACCCCCATGTGCTGGGATTAAAGGGCTGGCTGTTTGTATGTCTGTGTGTGTATTTGTATGTCTGTGTGCATGCGTGTAAGCCAGTGGTTGATGCCCAGATCACTACCCGTTGCTTTTCCAACATGTTTTGAGACAGAATCGCTCACCTAGAGCTTGCTAAGTCAGGCTAGGCTGGCCGGCCAGCCAGAGCACCCCAGGGATCAACCGCCTTTACCCCCTTGGCACTGGGACCAGGGTGTTCTCCGCCATGCCTGATGTTTGCAGGGGTAGACAGAGACGGCCCACCCTCCCATTCTCTGCCATGCCTGATGTTTGCAGGGGTAGACAAAGACGGCCCACCCTCCCACATCCCGTCAAGACAGCTTCGTACTTCACTGCGCCTCCGTGCTTCAGGATGAAGAGGGCACCTGTGACATCTGGGCCATATTTCTCCCGGATGTTAGCGAAGGACCTGTGGAGAAGATGAGAGCAAAGTGAAGCCCGGAGCTCCCGCTGCCTGCCAGTTCCATGAGGAGCAGCGTACAGGGCGGCAGGCCAACACTGACTAGTCTGCTTGCAAACCCCAGTGCCTACGCCATGCTGTGTGCCGGGATCACAGTGGACAGAGCACACAGCTGTCCTGCCTGGTACAGGAGACAGAGGACAAAGCAAGAAGGAGCCGGGCGGTGGTGGCACGCGCCTTTAATCCCAGCACCCGGGAAGCAGAGGCAGGCGGATCTCTGTGAGTTCGAGGCCAGCCTGGTCTACAGAGCAATTCCAGGACAGCCTCCAAAACAATACAGAGAAACCCTGTCTTGAAAAACAAACAAAAAGAGGCTGGAGATGGCCCAGTTGGGTTGAGAGTACTCGATGCCCTGCAACTGCAGAGTATCCAGCTGGGTTCCCAGTACCTGCGTCCAGTGGCTCACACCCGCCTCTTACTCCAGCTCCAGAGAACGGGGTGGGAAGCAAGCGGAGCGAGAATGAACGGGGTAACTGTGGTCCGGGCGGGGATGGCCCTCAGAGGCACGTGGGTCTGAATGGTAGGTCCCCAGTGGTGCAACTGTTTGGGAAGGATGTCACTAGGGGTGGCCTTTGAGGTTTCAAAAGCCAGGCTGTGTCATGCTCTCTCTCTGGACTCGCAACTTGTAGATCTCAATTACTACCCCGGGTCCACGCCAGCTTACTGCCATGTCCCCATCATGACGGTCATGGATGATGGGGACGTCCTTCTGCATATATGTTTCTCTTATTGGTTGATGAATAAAACACTGTTGGCCAATAGCCAGGCGGAAAGCATAGGTGGGGCTACCAGACCAGGGGAAGGTTGGGGAGAGGAAGACAGAGAGAGACGCCATGCTGCCAAAGGAATAATATGCCAGATTAATAGAAATGGGTTAGTAATCAAGATAGAGCTAGCTCCCAACACTTGGGAGGCAGAGGCAGGCGGATCTCTGTGAGTTCAAGGCCAGCCTGGTCTACAGAGCTAGTTCCAGGACAGTCTCCAAAACAATACAGAAAAACCCTGTCTCAAAAAACCAAAAACAAAAAACCAAAAACAAAAAAACCAACCAAACAACAACAACAACAAAAAAACAGAGCTAGCCAATAGGAAGCATGAGCCAAGCATTTTATAGTTAACATTAAGTCTTCGTGTGTTTATTTGGGGCAAAGTGGCTGTGGGACCAAGCAAGACAGAAACCTCCCCTCCACGTGGTCTCACCCTGTAAACTGTAAGCAAGTCCCCATTTAAATGGTTTCTTTTAAACGCTGCTTTGGCCATGGTGTCTCCTCACTGACCTTAACATGAAAGGTGTCAGGGCAGGCCACACACAGAGAGGTGGCAGGGACCGGCCCTGGGAATCCTGTAGCACCGACAGACCAAATGTGAGGGCAGAGAGAAGCCAGAGAGATGCCTTCAACGTCACCCGCAGCAACTGGGTGGCCGACTGTGCCCGTTCTTTGGGTGGAATCTAAGAGAAGGGCTGAGCCAGAGATGAAGACTCGAGTCGGCTGGGCTGGCAGGGGAAGCCACGGGCTAGCCTGGGACTGTCTAGAGCAGGAGCGGGCTCTCCCTGGGGTCTTGCCTGCCACAGGTTCTCACCGATTCTTCCAGTTGGACTTAGACAGCTGCTTCTGGAGCAGGTACTCTCTCAGAGCCTGGACGTCACGGAAGTGGTCTGAGAGGAACTGCAGCAGCGTCTTCTTTTTCTGACCTCTGTCTGGGGTCGCCGATTCACTGGCACCATGGATGCCCCTGGCTCTGCCATTCCATTCTCGGGCACCCAGGCGCAGGAACTGGAGAGGGGGAGAGGGTTGGGGTGAGCCTGGAGGGGACCTTTACCCCCAAATCTTACACCATGACTTTTAACCTCCCCCATCCTTCCCGGGTCTTCTGAAATTCTGGCAAAATCCCCCAGTTTTGGGTAGCTCAGCGATAGAGTCCCTGTTTAACGTGCACAAGGCACCGTGGTCAATCCCAGCATGCCCGCTTCCTCAGTTCTTACCTTTGGGATTCCAAACATTTCTCCAAATTCTCTCATTTAACCAAGCATAAATTCTTGCCTTAATGCAGTCAGTCTTGGTTTTTTCAAAATCTTCTAATTTCCCACCAAATCCTTATTTCCCCCTCAAGCTTCCATTATCCCTTAGTTTCTCATCAATTCACCTTTTTGGGGGGTGTGTGTGGCGTATGTATGCGGTATGCATTCATGCGTATGTTTACTCAAACGTGTGGGTGTCCATGCACAAATGCGCCTGTGTATGGGGGCCAGAGGGTCTTCCTTAACTGCCCTTTGCTGTGTATACTGAGGCACCCAACTCAGCCGCTCTGGCCGGTTTGCCTGAGGAGTCAACCGTCTCCCTCCAGAGTGCCGGGACCGATTACAGGCGGCCCGCCATGCCTGGCTTTTACCAGCTCCGGTGCTTTAACAATAAACCATTTCCCCGGCCCACACTTTACTGTTCTCCCAGGGTCTTGCTGACCGCCTCGTTTCTTGGCTGCCCCTCCATCCCGTCCACGTAGCCTTCACTTTTAGAGGCAGTGTCGGGGATGGACCAAAGCACTGCACCTACGCTCTCCAGTGAAACGAAATTTCCCTCAGGTTCTTCCTCGGAACTCACGCTCCCCCCTCGGTGCCTGCCTGGACATCGTGCCCTTTGATCTGCCCGTTGAGGTGTGTTTACTTGCCGACAGGACTTTGTGTTGCCAAAGCCCCGAACCCCTGGCCTCCGCGATCCCGAAGCCTGGCGTTACGAGAGCCTTACATGCCCCAAGGATTTCGCGCAACAGGATGTCTAGCCCTGCATCCCCCGGATCCCAGGCCCAGCCCTTCAGGTCAGATCTGGCCGCTCTCCCAGGGCGAGCCGTCCCCGACCTCTGATGAGCGAGTCCACCCACACCCTCTGGCTTCCCGAAGCCCAGCGCGGCCCCTCACAGCCCCACCGGCGTCCCCAGGGCGAGGCCCGGCAGGAGACCCTCCGTCCCCGCAGGCTTTCGCTTCCCAGGGGGCCGACCGAGGTCTCGAGGGCGGAGGGACCCAGAGAACTAGAGCAGGCTGGCTCCCGGCGCCGCGGTCACCTACCGCCCTGGGCGCCGCCATCTTGCCGGATGACGCAAGCAGAAGAGGCGGGACTTCCCCGCTCAACACGAGGTTCAGACGCTACTTTTGTGGCCACGCCCTTCTTTTTTTTTTAGCCCGCCTTTTAAAGGCGCATACTCACTTTAATCCTGTTGGTGTATTCGGAACACCCTTTCTTTAAAAGGCACTCTTCACACCCTCTGAAGAGGGAGGAGCGGTCTTTCCTTTTAGGGAGCTTCTTTTCCTGACTGTGGTCGCAATTCTCTTGGCTGTTGCACCTGGTTCGCTCTCTTGCTCTCTCCCTCTCCCCTCTCTCCCCCCTCCCCCCACATGGCCCAGCTCAGTCTGCCTCTGGCTATGCTCTCCCACACATCTACAACAAACTTCTCCTTTACCATACCTAGGAGCCATCATGTCCTTTCCTTTTTGTGTTTTTTCATTAACTTCTTTTTTTTTTTTTTTTTTTTTTTTTTTTTGGTTTTTACGAGACAGGGTTTCTCTGTATTGTTTCGGAGGCTATCGGTCCAGCCCAGCCTCGAACTCACAGAGATCCGCCTGCCTCTGCCTCCGGAGTGCTGGGATTAAAGGCGTGCGCCACCAACGCCCGGCAACTTCTTTTAATTTTTATCATGGTACGTGTATACACGCCCACATGCCATGGTGCGCCTGCCATATTAACGGAACATGGGCCAAGGTAGCAAGTTTAGGTCCCTTAGCTTGCACGAGCGCCTTTATCCCACGGAGATATCTCGTTGGCCCTATCATAATTAGGTTTTTCAATTTTATTTGGTATGTGTGTGAGTGTTTGCCTGCATGAATGTTGTCTGCACCACGTGTGTGCAGTACCTTGAAGACCAGACAAGGACGTTAGATTCCTGGAATTGGAGTTGCCAGCCACCATGTGTGTGCTGGGAATTGAACCCAGGTCTTCTGGAAGATGAGACAGTGCTCCTAATTCCCATGAAGCCTTCAACCCAGCCGATGTTACTTGTGTTTTTTTTTGTTGTTGTTGTTTTGTTTTGTTTTGTTTGTTGCCTTCTAACAGGATCAGTTAATGGAAGGGTGAGGTGGGTAGCCAGGTTAGAATTTAGTGTAAGAGACTGTCTTTAGTTTGGAGTTGACATTTAGATTTTTTTTTTTGAGACAGGGTTTCTTTGTAGTTTTGGAGGCCGTCCTGGAATTTGCTCTGTAGACCAGAACAAGATCCTCCTGCCTCTGCCTCCTGAGTGCTGGGGTATAGAGCCACCAGCAAAGGCCTCTGCAGCAGGTGCATTTAATTGGAAAAAGGTACTTAAAGGTTTGGAGGAACAGTGTTCAGGCAGAGGTAACAGCCAGAGCAAAAGCCCTGAGTAGGCACCAGCTTGCAGAGAGATAGGGGCAGGACCAGAGAGATGGGCAGTGGGGCGGATGTTACAGGTCCAGCGGGGCGGATGGTACAGGTCCAGTGGGGCGGATGGTACAGGTCCAGCAGGGTTTTGTTCCATTCACAGAGGGAGAGAGCAGTTTGAAAATCTGATTTGCATGCTGTGAAACGCTGGGGATGACAGAGATCAGCACAGGGGCTGCTGCAATAGTGCAGCCCGTGAAGAATAGGGATGGGGGAGGGGCCAGTAGTGAAAACTGCTAGAGACAAAAGCCTGTGAAACCGAAAGGTATCAGGGGCTGCTCTTCCAGAGGTCCTGAGTTCAATTCCCAGCAAACCGCATGGTGGCACACCAGCATCTGTAGCGGGATCTGGCGCCCTCTTCTGGTCTGTAGGCATACATGTAGATAGAATGCTGAATACATAACCCCCCCCAAACTACAAATGTCCTTGTCCTGCGACAATCCTCAGAGGCTGTGTGCATCAGTGAGTGGAAGCAACTTAAAGAAGGAAGGTTATCTGGGCTGAGTCCATCGCAGCGGGGAGGCATGGGAGCATGTGGCAGGCAGGCAGGGCTGGCGTCAGGAGCAGGGAGCTGAGCACTCACATCTCCAGCTCAAGATCAAAGCAGGGAAACTGGAAATGGTGAGGCTTTAAGCTCTCAAAGCCCACCTCCAGTGAGGCACTTCCCCGAGCAAGGTGGTTTCTCCCAAAGCTCCCCAAACCACCATGGACCACCCAACTGCCTGAGCCCATGGGGGGCATGTCCCTTCAAACCACTACACTCTGTTCCTTTCCAGCAGTATACTTACTGCTCTGTAGCCCAGACTGGCTGAAACTTGTAATCCTCCTGCCTCCCAAGTGCCTTCGCCACCACTGCCCAGCCAGTTCAAGGACCTTAGTGAGGATGTTATTTATCGCAGTGGCTGGGTGGGATCTTGAAGGTTTTATCAGAAGGATGGCCAGTGCTGTCGACAGGATTCAAGATGCCTGATGAGAAAGATTGGAGTCATGCATGGAGAGCAGGAAGCTGATGGGGATGTCCTTCTGTGTGCTGTGAATATACGTTTCTCTTACTGGTTGATGGAAAAGCTGGTTGATGGATAAAGCTGTTTCAGCAATGGACGGAGAGATAGAGAAAGGTAATGCGCAGAGTCAGGAAGACACCATGTAGCTGCCGAGGAAGCAAGAGGTCCCGGCATCATAATAGAAATGGGTTAATAATTAAGAGAGAGCTAGCCGGGCTGGAGAGATGGCTCAGAGGTTAAGATCACTGGCTGCTCTTCCAGAGATCATAAGTTCAATTCCTAGCAACCACACGGTGGTTCACAACCATCTGTAATGGGATCTGGTGCCCTCTACTAGCATGTAGGCAGAACACTGTATATGTAATAAATCTTTTAAAAAAAGTTAAAAAAAATAGAGAGCTAGCCAATAAGAAGCCTGAGGCAATAGGACAAACAGTTTATAATTAATATAAGCCTCTGCGTATGTATTTGGGACTAAATGGCTGCGGGACCAGGTGGGACAGAAACTTCTGTCCACAGGTAGCCTTGAAGTTCAGAGAGTAGAGTGTGGGTTCTGTCCTAGAAGCAACCAAGCCCAGTGTACCTACTTTACCTTTAGAATAACCTCGTGGGCGTTTCCATGTTCAGTGATAGGGATTGAAGTGTGTGCGTTTGTGTGCAAATATGCCTGCTTGTGCTTGTGTGTGTCTGCCTGTGCTTATATGTGTGTGTGTGCTTGTGTGTGTGTGTGCTTGTGTGTGTGTGTGCTTGTGTGTTGGAGCTGGTGACGGGACCAAGGGCCTCTTGCATGCCAGGCAAGCATGGACTGTTGAGCTGCACTCTTAGTCTGAACCGAGAGCCTTGCTCATCTTAGGCACTCACTCTGTCGCTGAACTACACTCCCAGTCTCTTGTGGGCTTTGGTTTTGTTTTGGTTTTGAGGCAGGGTCTCTGGAGCACAGGCTAGTGGCTATGAATGGTACTGAACTGGCAACTCCCCTGTTTCCATTTCCCAAGTGCTGGGGTTACAGGCACATACTACCATACCCAGTCAGTTTGACATGACATTGACACCGAACCCAGGGCTTCCTGCATGCTAGGCTAACCCTCCACCAACTGAGGCCCTTCCCCCTTACATTCGGTTCTGAGACAGAACTTCATTTCCTTGTGAAAGACCCCAGGCGGGGGACTTTCACGGGAGGGAGACCCGAACCCAAGGAACAACGAGACCACGATCTTGGATGCAACAGCAAGAGGCTTTATTGATAATACACGGGTACCCGGGGCATCTCAGTCTCGGGAACTGAGAGCCGCGAGCTGGGGACTCAGGGGTTCTTTTATAGCAAAAAGCGCAGTACAGAAGCGAGAAGCCTAGTTACAGGACCCTGATTGGGCAATTTAAATGAGGCTGGGGCTCAGAACGAGGGCAATTAAGGTTTCTCTCGGAACTCAAGTCTCGGCCTTGGCCCTATCTGAGGAACAATAGGTCTCTGTGCTTGCCCAATCTTGCTGGGCTGGCCATCTGGTCACAGCAGACACCCAAAGCCCGTGTCCTTGGGCAGAGCTCCCTTCTGATAGCAAGGACTATTCAGCTGTGGGGGAAACGGAATTTTTCATAAGCCTCAGCTGCCAGTGTATACTGGGCCGGGGTCTTTCACTTGGAACTCAATATATAGATCCTGCTACTCTCAAATTTGCAGTGACTCTCTTGTCTCTACCTGTCAAGTATTGGGATTACAGCTATGTGTCATCATACCCAACTAAGGTTTTTATCCCTTTTCGTGAAAAATTTTTTTTGATGCATGTGGTGGTCTGAAAGAAAATGGCCCCCAAAGGGAGTGGCACTACCAGGAGGTGTGGCCTTGTTGGAGGAAGTGTGTCACTCAGGAGGTGTGGCCTTGTTGGAGGAAGTGTGTCACTCAGGAGGTGTGGCCTTGGAGGAAGTGTGTCACTCAGGAGGTGTGGCCTTGTTGGAGGAAGTGTGTCACTCAGGAGGTGTGGCCTTGTTGGAGGAAGTGTGTCGCTGTGGGGATGGGCTTTGAGGTCTCTTTTGCTCAAGCTTTTCTCAGTGTCACGGTCAGTCAACTTCCCATTGCCTGCAGGCTGCTCCCCTACTCCTGCAGCACCATGGCTGCCTACTGCCATGCTCCCCTTCACGAGAATGAACTGAACCCCTGAACCTGCAAGCTAGCCCCAATGAAATGTTTTCCTTATAAGAGTTCCAGATGAAGGTGGTGGCGCGCGCCTTTAATCCCAGCACTGGGGAGGCAGAGGCAGGCGGATCTCTGAATTTGAGGCCAGCTTGGTCTACAGAGTTCATTCCAGGACGGCCAGGATTACATAGAGAAACCCTGTCTTGAAAAACTAAAAACAAAAAAGTGCAATAGAAACCCAAACTGAGACCGTGTGTGTGTGTGTGTGTGTGTGTGTGTGTGTGTGTGTGTGTGTGTAGGTCAGAGGATAACTTGCAAAAGCTAGCTCTCTCCTTCCATCGTGTGGGTCCTGGGGGATTGAACTCAGATCACCAGGTTTGGTGGCAAGCGCCTTTGTTCTCTGAGCCATCTCTGAAGCCCCCTTGCATATTGTTTTAGCTACCAAGATGGTGGTGATTTATGGCAACACCCACAGGAAATGGGGTCCAGTGGGGGCTCTGTGCTAAACACACTGACCTTGAGATGTGAGATTTGCAGAGCTGGCGTCTGGGCTCAGGGGGGCAGCTGAGTTCTAAGACAGGGACCCAGGGACCATCGGCATACTCATGGACTTGTAGGGGTCAAGACAGAGCATGACCTGGAGCACTCCCAGCCCTGACCCCCCCACCCCGGCAGTGATACAACACAGGCACGTCCAAACGTCCAAGGCTAGCAGAACGGGCTGCTGTGCGTAGGGCAGCCTGCAGTCTCCACGCCGAGGCTTTTCAGGCACACCCTGGCAGGGGACAGACAAGGATGGATTCAAGGGGCTGGCCAAGGTCGTTCAGCTAAAGAGGCTGAGGAGGAGGGGCTGGAGAGGTTCGAGGACCAGCCGGGAAGGCAGCCTCGATTCCCTCAGGCGTTGAGCATTAAGCACCAGGTTCCCCGAGGGGGTCAGCCTGAGAGTCAACAGTGTGAAGCTGGTTCTCTGCTTGAGGCTGACTTTGGACCCTGTGAGATCATGGAGGTTGGACTCCAGAAAGAAAAAAGAAAAACTGTGACCAGCTGATTCAGAGTGAAGAATGGACTTTGGGATGTCTCTGCCAGCCCCTCCCGTCCCCCCTCCCTCCACCCCACAGCCTCCCGGGGACCCGGTCACTTGGACCTTGCTACTTCCTGCTCTTCAGTCCGCAGTTTCCACCATGGAGCTGTGGGTGCAGCTGCAGCAAGCTGGACTGGAGGCCCTTGGATTGGGTCCACCGCCCCGGGCCCTAAGGATGCCCCCGCCAGAGGGGAACCCTGGCCAGACCCTTATGTCCTCAGGGACAGAACTTGGGGGTGCCAGGGAGCCACTGCTGTGGATCTGGGAGGAGTTGGTGAGTGAACGGGCACCAGAAAGATGGGAGATAGACATGGCGGCAGGGATGGAGTGGGGTGGGATGGGCTGTGAGTGAACATTAATAAAAACAGACGCCGCCAAGCATCAGCTAGGCCTGGTGGTTCACGCCTATAATGCAGCCCGGGCAGGAGAATCTCAAGCTTGAGGTCGCAGACTGAGGTCGTGTGTGGGAAGAAAATGAATCAAGGGAAGAGACAGGTAGTGTGGGGACAGAGCGTGAGTCAGGAATGGCCACGTCCGGTCCCACGGAGAAGCGAAGGTAGACATCAGAGACGGAGCTCAGGGCCAGACAGGAAGGCCCCGATGGAATGGCACCTGGGAGCGGCCAAGGGATGAGGAAACAGTTGGAGATGTGGGGTCAGAGACCAAAAGAAGGGACCACAGAGAAGAAGGGACGGTGGCCGGCAGAGAAACAGGTCAAGAGGCGCGAGGAGAAGCAGACAGCTCGAAGAAGCCAAAGCCAGTGAGATCCCTGGCCGGGCCGGCTAGGGCTTGAGCTGGCCCCCGCTCCCAAGAAGTTCCTGGCAGGCTTCCTTGTTCCGTGTGACACACCCACGATGCTCCTTTATTCCTGTAGGGGAATCTGCGCCGAGTGGATGTCCAGTTGTTGGGGCAGCTGTGTCACCTGGGACTGGAGATGGGGGCCCTGCGGGAGGAGCTGGCCACCATCCTGGAAGAGGAGGAGGAGGAGGAGGAGGAGGAGGAGGAGGAGGAGGAGGAAGAGGAGGAGGAGGAGGAGGAGGAGGAGGAGGAGGAGAGCTGTGTTGTTGAAGACGACGGAGGGCCTCGGGGGAAGCAGGACGAGGGGCGTCCAGGGACCTCCCCTCCAGCCCCCAGCCTCCCTGACTTTGAGATGACCATCTGAGGTGACACGCCCAAATGAGATGTAAATGTATGCAAAGGCAGGGCGAGATTTGGGTCCAATCAGATTGAGAGACAACGGTGCTCCTGTGGCAGACCGCTCTCCCCAGAGGACTGCGCAGAGATCCTGGCAGGTTTGACTGTAGGCTCAGAAGGGGCACAGGCACCTTGGGTCTGTCTGCAGAAGTGTTTGCAGCGTCGCCTGGAGACCTGGTGCTTGGCAAAGGTGATGGAGATGCTGGCGGACGCAATGGAAGACCAATTCAGCCTAGTAGCTGTCGTGGCTATTATGCAAATTGAGACATGGAGAGGTCACACTGAGACTTGAATACGGCAAAGGTCAACGACCTCTCAATAACTAAAAAAAATGATCACATGTTGAAACGATGTTTTGAATACATCGGATAAAAATATTTATTTCATATGCTTTTATGGTTATATATGACATTAAACTATCATAGTCATTTTTCATGTGTGGCATGTGATTTTTGGGCATACATATGTGTGCAGGTGGGTGTGGCTGTCTCCCTCTGTGGGGCTCTCACTGAACCATGCCACAGCTGTGGCTAGGCTGGCCCTCAAGCTCCCAGGACCTGCGGGGTTGCCCTGGCCCCAGTGTCGGGGGTACAGGCACATGGAGTTGAGCCTGGCCTTTTCCTTTGGGTGATGGGAGTTTGAACTCAAGCCTTTATGTTTGCACAGCAAGTGCTCTTACTGAGCCATCCCCTGGGGCTCCGTCTTTTGTTCTGTCTCTCTGTCTCTGTGTCTCTATCTCTGTCTCTGTCTCTCTCTCTTTCTCTCTCTCTCTCTCTGTGAGATAAGGTCTCTGCAGTCCTATAATCCAGGCTGGCCTGGAACTCACAGAGATTCTCCTGCCTCTGCCTCCTGAGTGCTGGGGTTAAAGGTGTGTTCCTACCACGATTAGTGTGCTTCCCATTCTTTATTCTGGGGATATATGTGTGTGAGTGTGGGTTTGTACATGCCACAGCATGTGTGGAGGCCAGAGGGCGACCCCAGGCACCAATCCTTGGTTTCTACCCTGAGATGGGGCCTCTCATATTTATGGCCATGGCTACCTAGCCTGAGAGTTCTGGTGGTCTCCTATCTCCTCCTCCCATCTCTCCATGGAGGCAATGGGACTAAGATACTAAGTTGTCCAGGTTTGCATTGGTTCTGGGAATTTGAACTAGATTCTTATACTGGCAAGCACGTTACCCTCTGACTCATCCCCAGTTCTTTACATACCCCAGTATGGACTGAGATTCTCAGTTTGTTTCCCTTAGCCATCTGAGAGCTGGGTGACATGTGAGTGCCCGGTGACACATGAGAGCTGGTGATAGATGAGTGCTCAAAGGCTACCGGGCGTTGGTGGCGCACATCTTTAATCCCGGCACTCGGGAGGCAGAGTGAGTTCCAGGACAGCCACCAAAACAATACAGAGAAACCCTGTCTTGAAAAAAAAAAAAAAGAAAAGAAAAGAAAACCTACTAGCTGAGTACCAACTAGCTAACCTTCTGGTCCTTGCTGGCATCTGTGAAAGAGAGTACCCTTCCACTCCACCAAACAAACAAACAAACAAACAAACAAAAACTGCACCACTCCAAACCCCTCCCTACTCCTTCCGCGTCTCTCTCTTTCTCTCAGATGCCCTCTGCTGCTCTGTGATCACTGCTGTCAACTATTTGCTCATCCAGCGTCCTGACTCAAGGTTCATTTCATTTAATTAACGCAAATGCAACTCAGGGTTCCCAGTGCGATCGAGTATTTCCCAACAAAATCTCAAACTATCTCTAAACCCTATGCTGGATGGGGTTGGGAGGTCTGGGAGCCATGCTGAGGAGAATGACTGGTCCTGCAGCCTGGAGCCGGAGCCCAGTTGTGCCCAGGAATCAGACCAGCCAGGTCATAGTTCTGCTACAACCCAGACATGAGCTGCAGTTCTCACAGTGAACACCCAGGGGGTGCTGGGAACCCTGTCCCTTAAAAGCCTTAAGTTACTTTGTGGCCTGGTTTCCATCCTTGCCCCAGCAGATCTGAAACTCCCTCCCAGGAGCCTGCTCTGACATCCTGGCCCCTTCTCATGTCCTTGAGGAACCCACTCTGCTAGGGGACCCTTCTTGTCATAACCCGCGGAGATGAGGTGACCACAGGGGAAACACCAAGAAAGAGAACAGAGATATCCCTGAATCACCATTCTTGGGGAGGCCCCAGCAGCCCTCAGCCAACACAGGAAGCTGTGGAGTCTCTGGAACTCTCCATAGGACGACTACTGAAAGGTTCAGACATTACGCTGGCCTGCCCTGTCACCTTGCAGAATGCACTCAGGCAGCACTCTGGCCAGCCCAGGGTCCATGAGTGCAGCCTGCAGGCAGAGGCAAAGGACCCCTTTAGAAGACAGACCCCGCCCACTTACATCTTCTCTCTTCCCTCTAGCTCTCTGCTCTGCCCTAATCCCCCCCCCCGTCGGGTATCTCTCTTGCCGGCTCGCCTTCTCCCCGTCTCCCAGTCTCCCCGTCTCGCCACTGTAGTAAACTATGGTTAATGCACTCTCCATGGCTCATGCTGTATCAGGGCAGTCCCGGTCCCCTTTCTAAGTTTTAAACTTTTACAAAAGAACGACGTTTACATTATTCTTTCCAGGACACACAATCACCTGTGTACGCCCAGGACATGAAACTCCTGACAACTGCTCCTAGCTCTTTTTTTTTTTTTTTTTTTTTTTTTTTTGGTTTTTTGAGACAGGGTTTCTCTGTGGCTTTGGAGGCTGTCCTGGAATTCGCTTGGTAGTCCAGGCTGGTCTCGAACTCACAGAGATCCGCCTGTCTCTGCCTCCCGAGTGCTGGGATTAAAGGCGTGCGCCACCAACGCCCGGCTGCTCCTAGCTCGTTTGATCAAACACCTCACTGAAGGCACCAGGAGTAATGGATGGGTTCCCTTCCTGGTCATCACTCAGCTGGTCCCTTCCCAGCACCAGAGATATCCCTGCCACCTAGCTGCTGGCTGTTAATCAACCCTTCTGAGAACAGCCGAGAAGACTAGGTACCAGGGTCCAGGTACCGGGGTCCACTGGGCAGGAGGAGAGACTCACAACCAGGGGTCTGTGCTTGGAGGACATAGAGAGGGGCGGAGGCTCGGCAGGGAGAGCGCTCACTGAGGGGAAGTGCAAGGCGGTGTGGAGGATCCACTCCCTCCTACCCTGCTGGCCTCTGTGTTCAGAAGCCTGATGCTCACAGTGTGTCAGGGACTCTCCAAATAAAGGGCATCGCACACTGTCGTTAGCTCCCAACCAGACATCTCATAAATAAACCCCTGGAGCTGTAAGAAGTGGGCACTCATTCACCCACAGGTGTCTGAGCCTGGTCCAGATGAGTCCTCTCCTCACAGAGCCAGAGATCCAGGACACAGGAAGATGGGACAGGAGGGACATCTAGAGGGTGAGGCCAGAGGCTGAGAAAATCAAGGTGGGAACAGCAGGGAAAGGTCAGGATAAAAGCCCCCAGGGTTTCTAGAGGAGGTCGGGGAAGGCAGCCCCTAGCCTCACACACCACAAACAACTGAGGGTTAGCAGGGAACTAAGTGCGGTGAGGGGTGAGCTGTGCAGATATCCAAGACACCCAGACAGATAGAAGGAAAGTTCACGGGTGCTGAGGGAATCAGGCAGTGCTGTTGATCTCCATTAATTCATGCTGAAAGTATGGCTCAGTGGTAGAGCCCCTGCCTAGAATTCCCCAGTGAGGGGCTGGGGGTGTGGCTCAGTGGTAGAGCCCCTGCCTAGAATTCCCCAGTGAGGGGCTGGGGGTGTGGCTCAGGGGTAGAGCCCTGCCTAGAATTCCCCAGTGAGGGGCTGGGGGTGTGGCTCAGTGGTAGAGCCCCTGCCTAGAATTCCCCAGTGAGGGAATGGGGGTGTGGCTCAGTGGTAGAGCCCTGCTTAGAATCCCCCAGTGAGGGGCTGGGGGTGTGGCTCAGTGGTAGAGCCCCTGCCTAGAATCCCCCAGTGAGGGGCTGGGGGTGTGGCTCAGTGGTAGAGGCCCTACCTAGAATCCCCCAGTGAGGGACTGGGGGTGTGACTAGGGCACAGTTGCTACTAGCATGCAGGAAGTCCTAGATTCTTTAACAACACACACACACCCACACCCACCTCCCCACACACAAACACCAAGACTGAGAGGTGAACATACATGTTTAGGACATAAGGACTCATCTTCCCACCAAATCGTGATTTACAGTCTTAGATCTCTCTTTCCTCCCAACCCCAGACTCCTCTTTAACCTGCTAGAACCTTCTCATCACTGCCCGACTCGGTGCCATTCATGCGGTGGAAGGGATGAATGCCCTTTCAGTTGTCCACACCTAACGTAATTTCCCCGCCCTTTTCTTCAGTTAAAGGAAGAGCTGACAGCATTGGGTTTGTTCCAGGCCCTGCTGAGAAGAGTGTGAGCAGAGAGCTTTGCAGATGTTTGCAGGCTCACTGATTTGCGGTACGTTTTATCCCAGAGGTTCTCTGTGCCTGGATGACAGTGGGGTGAACAAGTCACCCATTATCCTTGTGTTGGGCAATCTGTGGCTGTAGAGTTAATAGTATTCTCATTGAAAGCCAGTGCTCCTGTGTTTGGCGCACCACTGTAGGGAACTGGGATGTCTTCTTGGTGGATTTAGCGAGCATGAGCTTGATGGCCGCATCGACAAGAGTCAAGGCGGTCAGCACAGTTCCCAGTGCTGGCGGTAAACTTACCCCCACCATGTTGGAAAGCCAGCAGCTAAAGCATCCACTTTAATTTTAGCCATGCTGTTTGGCAGATAAAAGACTCGTGGCCAGAAAAAAGATAGAGACATACAATAAAGGCATAGTCAGATGAAGAAAAACCTCCAAAGGGTTTACAATGTGTTTAAAGATATTCTTAGGCTTGGGAGAGAAAAGAAAAAGGATAGAGTAGTTAAAAAAGAAAATCTGGTGTGGTAGCGCATGCCTTTAATCCCAGCACTAGGTAGGTAGAGAGAGACAAGCAGATCTCTGTGAGTTCAAGGCCAGCCCAGTCTACAAATCGAGTTCAAGGACAGCCAGAGCTGCACAGAGAAACCCTGTCTCAAAAAATGAAAAATAAAGGTAAGAGAAATAGAGTGATAATTTTAAAAAGCCATGTAAAGATAGAAAATGCAGAGAGTCTGGATACTGCTTGTTATTGTGTTGGCTTTGAATTGTTTGATTGCCGAGGAAAGAGCAACAGCTGCTAACAGACATTTGAGTATAAATGCTGCTGGATTAATCCAGCCTACATATTTTTTAAAAGCCTAGAATTCTAAATTTAAGTCCAAGGACATGATACTTTGGAAAAGATTTTATTTCTGTTTCCACAGAAAATGAAAAGTTGTGCTGTGGATTCTTTCCAGACTAGTATGGTTTGGTTAAGCAAGATCCCCTGAAGCAGTGGCCCAGGTGATATAACATCCAAGATAGCTGAGACAATG